AAAAATAGAGCTTAGATCCGGAAATTTAGACAGATGTCATTGTTAGTGTCTGTGGTTATGATATTAAGGTTATTTTGTTTAGGGTATACGGATGAAGCTGAAATTTTGAAATTTTGTATTGGGGTCCCTGTTGGAAGTAGTTTCGAAATAAAGAGGTGGTTTTAGAAATGTGTACTACAAGTACATGAAAAGTACTATATAGAACTACGTTTGGTACAATTTCTGAATGAACAGTCTGAAATTTGGCAATAGAGTCGCTGTTCGTGTGCAGCCTGGGCATATGGAGGTGGTTTCGGGAATGAGTACTATAATTGTACGAATTGTACTAAATTGGTATAAATTGGTATATTTTTATTAATTACGGATTTTTTTTTCAAATTTCGGGTATTATAAGTTTGATACATATAGATATATGGATCTTCCCATCTCGTCGAGCTGAGACGATCTAGCTATGTATGTCCGTCCGTCTGTCCATGTTAATTTGTAATCACGCTATAGGTCGCAATTATGGCCCGATCCTCACAAAATAATATATAGGGGTTAAAATGGGCCATAAACTGAAAAATGTCCTTATTTTGCAGTTGCTCTACAGGTCGCAATTATAGACCAATCGACGCGGGAGTTAGCATGGATCTAGAGCTTAGGGCTGGGCAGGAGACTTCCAATTTTGATGGTCATCGGGTAATATTTAGTGGAAGAAATAGAAAAAAAAATTCCTGATCACACAATTGAAACTAATCGAAACGGAATTTGGCATGAAAAGAGAGTTAGGGACAGGGAAGAGTTTTAGCATTTTGGATGACCATTAGATTATATATAGCTGTAAAATGGACCACAACAACTAACTGCACGACGGAGTGCGTAAATATTGGGCCAATTTTCCTGGTCAAAATGATAGGGGAAAAGCGAAGTCTTTCAAAATGGATTTGAACATAAGGAAACATCTAACATATTGTAGTGTTGTAGGGTATCACATTGTCGGCCCGCACGATTATAGCCTTTGCTTACTTGTTTGTTAGTTGAAACAATGGGATGTATGAAATATAAAGAAAACCTGATGCTTACTTCGGATTTTATAAACGTTTTGGTTATTCAAAACTTTGACCCTTTGTCGACGAGATACCAGAAGGAATGGTTCGATCTCTATCGTTTTTATAACATATCTTGTGTTGATGGAAATATTGAGATGTACCTGAATGGAATCGGATGTTAATTTCGTGTTTATGAGCTTAATGGTTACTCAAAAATTTAACCCTTTGTGGAGGGAGGTACCAGAAGGAGTGGGCCGATATATTCCATCTTCACATCAGCCCTTGGGTTAATACAAAATATTGTGATGTGTATAATTTTAAGACAATCGGTTTCTTATATCACATTTTATAAGAGTTGTAATTATTCAAAATGTTAACCCTTGGTGGGTGAGGTACTTGATGGAGTGCACCGAAATTGTCATTGTGTTATTTTGATGAGGCAGGTTTTGAACGTATCATTTAATATAAGTTCCTTATAACATAAAGTTAAAAATCATAAAATTGAATTCATTTTTATTATAAATATGTTGAAAAATTTCAAGGAGACTACCGCATAGCAACTGATTTAATGCATGGGATTAAAGATGGGACTTTTCAAAAATTTCTTGGTTAATTTTTTTTAAGAGTTGGCTGCATATAATTTTCCACAGACCCTTCCTGGTTAAAAATCGTGGAGATGGAGTGGTTAATTTTAATTTAGAAGATCTTTCTTTGGGTATTTTTAATAAAAAAATTATACAAGTATAAAAACAGCTATGTTCGGCCGGGCCGGAATTTTAATACCCTCCAGCATTTGGAAGGAACTTGAAAAATTAAAAAAAAAAAACTTCCGGAAACTACAACTTAAATGGAAACTGTTATATTGAGACTATACGAGGACGTGGACCGGTGAATAATGCCGCACAAATCATAATATATATACGAAGACGTGGACCTGCATACGAACATTTTTTCTATAGGTTGTAGTGACCATAAGGCTCACACAATTCGAAGTTTGAAACAATTCTCGTGAATGATATTGCTGAAATCATCAAAATACCGAATATTGGGAGCTACCGTTATATGAAGGCTAAACGAAGACGTGGACCTGCATACAAAAATGTTTGTCGTAGGCTGTTGTACCCATTACAAACTTTTAGTACGAAATTTGAAACAATTCCGTAGAATAATGTTGCTGAAATTATGAAAATGCCGATTATCGGGAGGTACCGTTATATGAGGGCTATACGAAAACGTGGACCGACATGGCCCATTTACAAACTTAACCTACCTACTAGTAAACTATGCATGTATGCAAAATTTTAGCCTTCTACCTCAATTCGTTAGAAAAATAGCGTGATTACAACAGAAAGACGGACAGACAGACGAACTGACATCGCTAGATCGTCTTAGAAGTTGACGCTTATACATACTTTCTATATACTTTGTAGGGTATATTATGAATATTTCGAGGAGTTACAAACGGAATGACAGAGTTAATATACCCTCCATAGAATGGTGTAGGGTTCAAAAACACAATAGCATATTTTAAGACAATTATTTAAAAGACATTTGGAAATTAACTCGACCAAAAATTGTAGGTTTATTAGCTGTTAAAGGATATTCTGACCATCTCTTTTCAAGGACTGCAGATAGAGTCCATAAAAATAAATCGTAAATTGTTAAAATTTAGTTTTTTTTTTAATACAAGGATCTTCTGACCAATAATCGTGGTTTTTTGAGGTAAGTTGTCGAAGGATCTCCAGACCAATTATCGCTGATATTTTCAGTATAAATTTCACATTTTTTCGTTTTCTCAATGCCAAACATCGCGTTTTTAATATTAAATATAGATTGTTGTTGTCTTGATTTCTTGAAGAATTTCTTATCCATAAAGAGTGATATTGTAAAGGAATGCTTTTGAAATTTCCTGTCCATAAAATGATGATTATTTATTTTTCAAGATCTCCAAATAAAGTTCATTAAAAAAATCGCAATTCGATTGAAATACAAATCTACCAAAAATCGCTGCTTTTTTACGAGGCTGTTGAAAGTTCTTCTGATGAAAAAAGTTGATGGACTTTTAAAGATTTTTTAGGTAAATAATTTACGTCTTAAGAATACTATTTTTACAGACTACATTCCGAAAATTTTAGAATTTTAAGAACATTTTTTGGGCTGCCTCCTTCCGAAGAATCGTAAGTTTCACGTTTTTCAAGCCAACAACTTTTTTATATTTTTTTAATTAATTATTATTATTATTATTAATATTATTATAATTATTATCATTAATATTAAATTAATCATAATAATAATAATAATAATAATAATAATAATAATAATAATAATAATAATAATAATAATAATAATAATAATAATAATAATAATTATAATAATAATAATAATAATAATAATAATAATAATAATAATAATAATAATAATATTAATATTATATTATTAATATTAATATTATAATATTAATATAAATATTAATATTAATTGTTGTTATTATTATTATATTATTATTATTATTATTATTATTATTATTATTATTATTATTATTATTATTATTATTATTATTATTATTACTATTATTATTATTATTATTATTATTATTATTATTATTATTATTATTATTATTATTATTATTATTATTATTATTTTTAAACATTTTATGATTGTTATTATGGTTTTTCTTAAATTTTATGTTTTTGTTGCTTCAACTTCGATCATTTTCGGATAAAATATGAAAAAATAATATCGCTGTTTGGATTTCCATGCAGCTCTTACAAAAGAATTTTTTATTCGCTGATGGCATGCCAACCGAAGTCTTTTTTTTTTTTTTTTGTTTTAAACAATACTTTTTTTTATTATTTAATTTTAGTTTCTTTATTTTGACTAGTGTCTGAATTTTCTTCAAACATGAAAATATGCAATTTTATCACTTTGATGTGTGTTTCAGTTTTGGCATTTTTTTCTCTTTTTTTTTTTTTTGAAAATAACATGTTCACATATGTCGTCATCGGTTAACCTACTTTCGAAGGAGTTGCAATTACCGAGAGCTACTGGAAAACCGTAACGAGACAAAGGCAGACAAAGGCTTCAAATGGAATCACGGCAACTAAAACGAGATGTCAATGAATGAGAGAAAAATGTTGGATTTTTTTTTTTCAACATTTTTTTTTTTTTTTTCAGAAAATGCAAAAAACACATATTGTGTTTTTTAAGTTGGCGTTTTAAAAATAATAAATGCGGGGTTTTGGCTGCAAAAAATTAAAACATGTAAAAAAATCATGATATTTTATGGTGGCACTACTAACACAATTATTCCTCTAATTTAAACTAAGCCACCAGGTGGCTGTGTGGTGGTATTGGTGTACCAATACTCTGACATTGGCAAAGTTAAGGAAATCACGAATACAGAGAAAATTTGTTTGGTGGTATGGGTAAAATTCCTCCTTGGCTAACCCATACTCTGGCAAAGGCCCAAAGAAGTCTGGGGTTTAGAGTCTACCCATACGTTGAAAAGTGTGAGTGTGTGTGTCACTTGCTTGCCTGTTAATGTATTGGTGGTAAGCCTAAGCCACGAAAAATCTCCGGTTTCACTCTCAATTTCTAACAAAAAAAGCTTTTTTCCCGCTTGAATTTTCAAAACACACACCAAATCACAATTCACTCTCACTTTTGTGTTTACTTGCCTCTTTATTTTGAGCTCTCCACGCTCCAGTGCCCAAGCTCTTTGTTTTGTAGCCGGATTTATTAAATCAAAAGCTTTTGTTTTAAATTAATATTAGCGGTATTAAAAGTCTTCTTTTACTAAAGCCAAGAAATGCAAAAATTGTGTTTTTTTTTTTTTTTGTTGAGTTGCTTTACTCTTTCAGTTGTTTTGTTGTTGTAAAATTTGTTCGCTCACACGCTCGCTCCTCGGTGTTTTTTGTTTTTGCCATGCAGCTACCGCTGACATGGGAACTCAGCGTTTTACCAATTTTTTAGTCACATTTAAGAGCGTGGCGTATATAAGCGACCAACTGACCAAAGACAGCATCCAGTTAAAGGTTTGGAATCGTAGCGGATTCTACAAATCCTTACCATCCAACGTAAATCGAAACAAAGGTGTTGTGTGTGTGACAGAAAGGTGGATATTTAATAGACATTTGTTTGTTGTTTTTATGAAATGTTTTTTTTTTTTTTTCTCAAGAAATTCTAGAACTTTTTTCAAATTTAAAAAAAAAATTAAAAAAAAAAATAAATTAAATTAAAATATTTTGAAAATGGAAATTTTTAATAAAAATTAAATTAAAATATTTTGAAAATTTAAATTATTTAATTCAAATAAAATTAATTGTGTATTGTTTTCATTTTTTCAAAATTTTAGTAAGACGACCCTTACTTTAATTTATTGACAACAACAACAGCAACTGAGAAAGTGGGTGTGTGGTGTCTGTGCAATACATTCCAATAAAATCAACAACAACAACAACATCATGAAATTATTTGTAAGTATTGAAAATTTAAATAAAAAAAAACAAAAATAAAGTGGTAATCAGCGAACGAAAGTGCAGATATTAAAGTGAAAGAAAATTCATAGGAAAAAATTATTTAGAAAATCCGAAAGGAAATGGAATACAAATCGGTCCATATAAAAATTGACTTCTATGAGTGATAATCCTAGATAGATATTTTAAAAAAAAGTTCAGACAGTTATGTGCGAGAAATGAAATCGAAAAATGTATATCAAAAAACGAATTTGAATTGAAAAAAAAAAACATGATTCAGAATCCTTCAGGGATAGATAAATAAATTGTTTTTTTTGAAAAGCGTATTCCAACTGATTCTCACACATTTGTTGAGAACTTCTTTTTAAATATATAGAATTTGTCAGATTCAAAATATCGAAATTAGCATAACTTCCTCTCCAGAAAAAAGTCTTTAGTCAGGTCAGATTTAGGTAACGAGGATCATTGGTTGGTTCCTTCGGTTCTAAAAAAATGTGAAATGAAATTCCAAATTTTTGAAATTATATAAAAAAAAGTTTCCATACCAAAAAAAAAAAAAAAAAAACAGGGATAATAAAATTCTCTTCTCTTCTTCTTTTAATATTTTTAATTAAAAAGAAAAATAAAAAAATTAATAAAAATTAAAATTTAAAAATTATTTGAATTTTTTATTTATTTTTCGTATTTATTTTATAATTGCGATATTTAAGTAAAAAAAATGTAATAGAAAAATTTATACAAAAAACCTAATTTAAATTCGTAAAAGTCGTTCCGTGTTCAAATAGATTAACTTGATTCAGAATCCTACAGGGATAGCTTAAATATTTATTTATTTATTTTTATGTTCGTTCCTACACAACAAGATTAGCATCTTATAAATTATAGTGAAGGAATTATAATTACAAACAAATATCCGCTTAAACTTAGAAAATATATGCTCCTTCTATATTTTTTTTTTTCAAAATTTTATTTATATTTACTTAATGTTCCGCCAGATTCATACAAATTTATTGCAAACATTTTTAATATACATAGAGTCCGCCAGGTTTAAAATGTCGATATTTGTATAAGGTCCCCTCTGGAAAAGAGTCTTTAATCTAGGCAGCTATAGGTAACAAGAACCTTAATCAATTTTTGTTGAAATTTGAAATTTTCGGAAAAAATATGAACAAACGTTGTTTTTATAAAAACTGCAATAATAACTTAAGCCTGACCTAAAAAAAATAAATTTTTAAATTTTGGATAAAGATTTCCGGAGACTCCATTCTTGTTCTGAAGCCTGACTTTTCTGCAACAACAAAAACTAAAAATTTTAATTTTGGAGATAAATTCCCAGAGACTCCATTCTTGTTCTGAAGCCTGACTATTCTGCAACAACAAAAAATAAAAATTTTAATTTTGGAAACAAAATTCCGGAGACTTCATTCCTGTTCTAGAAAAAATGGGAAACGAAAAATTAAATAAAAAATATAAAATTAAAATATAAAATTAACAATTTTATATGGAAATTAAATTTCAATTCAATTTTTTAAATAACAAATATCGTTTTAAAATTTCTCTTTTTTGAATTAAATAATGCCTTAAAAATTATTAACCGTAACTTAATATTGGCATAATTTTTAATTTTTACCAATATTACTATTTATCTTCTACACCACATAATACCCTTATTATGCCTTGGTGCATTCGTTTATAACATTGAAGAGGTAGTGAGATAGGCCCATAGTTACTTTTGAGAATTTTCATAGAATTACTTTCTGAGTGAATTTATGCATGTCAGTCCGTCCGTCTGTCAATATATTCTTGTGAGCAAAATTCAGGTTGACTCTATTATTAGATTGAAATGAAAATATTCAAGGGCAAAACCTATGGAAATTGGAGAGAATGTGTTCAGATTTGGATATACGTCCCACACATGCGTAATAAGCACTCCACAAGAACAATATTTAGTACCAGATATCTTTAGAGCTCAAAAATACCTTTGCCAAATTTTATCAAGATCAATTCAAATTTAGATATACCTCCCATATATATCTTCAACCGATTCCGGGTTATTTATACACAAAATGGCAAATATTAATCCAAATGACCTGAATTTAAGTTTGTCCGACCTAATTCAGTCTAGAAACAAGCACATTAAATTTGGTGAAAAATCGGTTCAGATATAGCTCAAGCTCCTAAATATATAATTCATCAAATTTGGTGTTTATGTCTGTCACATTCGTAATACACACTCCACAACAATGGTGTAAGGTACCAGATATTTTATATAGCTCGAAAATAGCTTTGCCAAATTTTATCGGGATCAACTCAGATTTGAGTATAGCTCCCGTATATATACTTATAGCGAGTTCAAGTTTTTTTGCACCATAAGCCATTTGGTGCACAAAAATGGATTGAATTTCGGACGTACGTTTCCATTTGGTGGAACTCGACTCCGATATATATTTTTTTAATATAATCCTTCTCGAAGTGATACCATGCACTCTATAATAATGTTATCTGGTATAAAAGATACAAATTTCGCCGTCAAATTTGGTGAAAATCGATTCAGAATTGGATATGTCTCCCGTATATAAGTTCCCTCTAAAACCAAATTGTAGCTGCTCCAAACCAATTATTGATAGGTGGTATGATCTACATCAAATAAATTATTTTATTACGGGAGCTCTACTAAATATGCATAGTGGTGTAGGGTATCATGTAGTAGGCCCCGCCCGACTTTTGACTTTTCCTTAATGTTTCTTTTTAATTTTTATTTTTTTTAATATTTATATTTAAAATACAGTAATTCTGAGACAAATGTGACTTCCAGGATATAATAGTTCCCAATTGGAAGTATTTTGAGGCTTTACACACATTTTTCTCAAGCAGTTTTCCTGAGACTCCCAACAATGTGGCTTCTAGAGTTCTGCCAAAATGTGATATAGTTTTTTGCTAGAATTTTGCCTGGTTGAGTTATTCAAAAGTCTTGCAGAAAATAATAAATTTTTCTCTTCCAAGATATGCCAAGCCAAGTTCCAAAAAAAAAAAAAAAAAAACTGATTTATCAAAAGACTTAGGAAAGAAGCACTCTCAATATTTATATTTGTTAAATTAAAAATTCCAATGATTATAAAAAATAGTTTTTTGAAATGATTGCTTCTGGTTGAAAGCATTTTCTGTGCCTCCTATAAGTTCGGCATTTTTCATTATCGCTCTTTTATATGTATTCAAGCTATAATGAATTTCAAAAAAAAAAATATAATAATAAATAAAGTAAAAAATATTACAAGAATGAATCAAAAGACTTAGGAAACAAGCACTCTTAATATATGTTACATTAAAAATTACAATGATTATAAAAGCTTGAAACCATAATTCCCGCTGAGGAGAATTTTCTGGATTTAAAAACAATTTTTTAACTTTGCTTTTGGAAAATATCTAAATGTGCAAGAGCTTAACTGTCTGGAATTCTTTTAGGTTCTTTCTTCGATTTTTTTTCCATTTTTTTACTAAAACTTTTCCAAAAGGTCTTAAGAAAAAAACACAAATTTCTGTAGAACATTAGCTCCAAGCTGAAAAAATTTTTAGGATTTAAACACAATTTTTACCCAATAATTCTGTGCCGTGTATAAATTTGAAATATTTCACCATCCCTCCTTTATATGACTATATCTTCTCCTAAAAATTGATTTTTTGGAAGATATTCAAATGTGTGATAATTTTTAATTGATTGTTTCGATTCCAATGAGAACTTAACTGTCAAGAATTCTTTGAGGTTCTTTCTTCAATTCATTTCCTTCTTTACTAAAACTTTCACAAAAAGAGTCTTTTAAGACAAAGCAAAAGACTTAGAAAACAAACACAATTTTTTATGAAACGATAACTCCTGGTTGGAAGCATTTTCAGGATTTCAACAAATTTTTTTTTCCAAATCCACAAATTGGAATTAAATGTATTCGAATCTCTTTAGTTTTAGAAAGATATAATGTTCCTAAAAATATTGCTTCCATTTGAAAACATAAATATATTATTCCAATCGAGTTTTAATTAATTTATTTTTTTTTTTTTTTTGACATGAATTCCTGTAATCCTGCTCAATTTTTTACCTCTTAACGGTATCGTAGGTGTTTCTAAATTGAATATTTTACAAGGTTGTTTTATTTGTTTCATTCAACATCCATTTTTGCATTGAGAGGGTGTCTGTGCATAAATCAAAACCGGGAGAGACAAAAAGAGAAAGAGAGAGATGGAGTTTGCAATTTCATCATAGCAACTGTAAACGAAAGACTTAAGACACGAACTTGAGCAATTGTGTTTGTTTTCGCCATGGCTGAAGGTTTGTTGAAAAATTTGGGGGAAAACGGAGGTTAAATATTTTCCGGTCCCAAAAAATCAAAAATTCTGACTTTTAATTAGATTTGATCAACAATCTGTTATATCGCAATAACGGACTTAGAGTCCAAAAATGTTTGAAAGAAATCAAGTACGATTTAACAAAAGACACAAACTTAAGAAATTATCTTAGACCAGGGATGAAAGCTGGATAATTAAGGTTTAACAAAATACTTAACGGGGCACTGAGAATAATTTAAACACCTTTTTCCTTTCTCCGCTTTGAGAACGTCCATGTTGCCTGTCCAAATTTTGATTTGAATTTTTTTCTTTAAAAAATTTTGTATTTTTCCATTTTTAAAAACCAAAAAAACCTTTACCAAGGCCAAACAAAAGACTTAAGACACAAACATAAAAACCTAATATTTATTACATTAAAACAAAAATTACAATGATTACAAATTACACCCACCTTCTATTTACCCATTGACACAGAAAACGTAATTTAACTAAATGCATGTGACAATTATTACGTATAGACACTGGCAATTATCTAATTACAAAAAAGAAACAACAACAAATCTGGTATATGGAATTTTGTTAAGGCAATCAAATTAAGTAATACCTTCACACACACACGTAGAGAGAGACAAGATACTTGTCATAACTACCTTAAACAGCTG